AGGTTCTAAACAATGTATTTGGAATTTGGGGAAAAGTCCTGCACACACTTTGGCCAGCTTAAATGAATGAACATGGACTTCTTCTTTTTTCCTTTTTTGGACTCTTTGTCCCATTTTCTCCCCTCGCCTTTCTTTGTCTGTATTGAGATTGCTGCCCCGAGTCGCTTCTTTCCACAGATACCATACTGTTAGGGGTGGTCTTGAAGTATAAGGGGGTGACTGATCGACAGTACAAAAGAAAATCACGGAAGATTTTGATTTTTCCATGACCTAAAATGACTATAAAGTAATTATTTTGGTGTTTTGATTTTATTTTGAAACTGTTGAATGCACATTTCAAAAAGCTTTCCATATCCCAAGGTGGACACAATTTTATGGATAACAACCTTTTTAATACTGTACAAAAGCGATGTTTCGGTATAGATCCTTATACCGTTGTCAAGCAAGCTGTACCGAAACGTCGCTTTTTACAGTATTAAAGAAGTTGTTATCCATAAAATTGTGTCCACTTTGTCATCTGTCAACTTCTAAGTAATGCCTATCAAACAAGCTTTCCATATATCCATAAACCATGGTTTGGTATCCAAAAGAGGTTACATGACCAGCCCCAAATGCATTATGGTTGGAAATTATGTTTGAACCCAGTTTGGACATGTAGAGGATAATAATGTGTTGACTTAGTTACTTACTTTGAATTTATCTCAACTGATTTAAAAAACCTTTGGTTTTTCATGAATTAACCCTGAATTATATGTATGTATTTGGAACCATCTTTCATAATTTGAGGGGCGGTCGGGTAGCCTAGTGGTTAAAGCGTTCGCTCGTCACGCCGAAGACCCGGGTTCGATTCCCGACATGGGTACAATGCATGAAGCCCATTTCTGGTGTCCCCCGCCGTGATATTGCTGGAATATTGCTAAAAGCGGCGTAAAACCATACTCACTCACTCATAATTTGAGCTCTTGTGACCTTGAACTTTAATGAAGTCTTAACTTCTCCACTTTTGTCATTAGTTACAGTACATTGTTACACTTTCTAGTATCTATGGTCAGGGAATTGCCTGGTGGAACTGAACTCAATGAGAACAGTAAAGCAAGCGCCTAACTGTACATGAGACAAACTTCAGATCTGTTACTTCGTTCCGCTTGATATATCTAACAGGGATATTGCTTTTACACTGTCAATCAAGATGGCTGCCACTGCTGTCTGCCACACAGCAATTAAGAAACCTAATAAGCAATATCATTGGCTAAAAGGGTGACATCAATAACCAGCCAATGACAGAGTACCTGTTTGAAATGAGGGGGTCACATGATTACTCCTTAAAGGGCAGCGCAGTATACAGACGGGGTCAGGTAGGGTCAATCCATTAGGTGACTTTTGATTGGCTATCGATTCAGGACTGATGGCAATGCAATTTAAGATAGGCAATTTTGAGTATCAAGTGTTGAGAATGGGAATGTTGGAGTTTGAGGAAGGCCAAAGTGTGTTTACTGCAACTCTTGACCGTTCCTATACCAATATAGGTTATGTAGGTCACTACAGACAGCAGGAAAGGTACTATCATTATACTGTAACAATGTCAACACAAGGGAGATAACTGTGATCAAGTAAAGAGATGATTCTGGAGACAAAATCAATATGGGGGTGGGGGGGTTAGGGGGCTTCATAAGCATCTCAATGGCAATCAAGTTGATATGATTCGTGAATTGGCTTGGCAGGGTATATATTTACTATACCTGAGATGGAAAAACAACATGGGGTATCCTGATGGACTGGGATCATGACAACTACAGATGAGAGCTTGTACAGTGAGTGAGTGAGTGAGTGAGTGAGTGAGTGAGTGAGTGAGTGAGTGAGTGAGTGAGTGAGTGAGTGAGTGAGTGAGTGAGTGAGTGAGTGAGTGAGTGAGTGAGTGAGTTGGGTTTAACACCGCTTATGTCTCTGTTTTGTTTTGATGTGCACCTCAGGGTAAAAGAAAGACCCAGTCCAACTATCATGGAGTGAGTGAGTGAGATTGGGCTTAACGCCTTTTATAACAGTATTCCAGTTATATCATGGCGTGTCAGCTTGATGTGGGAGGAAAGCCCGAAGTGATGCAGGTCTCAGACGTTTACCACTTCGGTGAAACCCACGAGCACGGGTATGGTGCTGACAAACCTAGAAACATAATCGGGGCGAACCGGGATTCGAACACACAGCTTTCTGGTGTGCCCAAGGGATGCAACTTTGCACAGCGAATCACGGTGCCTTAGACAACTGGGCCACCTGTGCCCCCGAGCTTTACAGAGTGTAGGAAATATCAATGTAGAGATGAGAGGTTGTAGGAAACATAATGTAGAGATGAGAGGTTGTAGGAAATATCAATGTAGAGATGAGAGGTTGTAGGAAACATAATGTAGAGATGAGAGGTTGTAGGAAACATAATGTAGAGATGAGAGGTTGTAGGAAACATCAATGTAGAGATGAGAGGTTGTAGGAAACATAATGTAGAGATGAGAGGTTGTAGGAAACATAATGTAGAGATGAGAGGTTGTAGGAAACATCAATGTAGAGATGAGAGGTTGTAGGAAACATCAATGTAGAGATGAGAGGTTGTAGGAAACAATGTAGAGATGAGAGGTTGTAGGAAACATAATGTAGAGATGAGAGGTTGTAGGAAACATAATGTAGAGATGAGGGGTTGTAGAGAATTCATTTCAGTTAGCTCTTACAACAAGCACAGATCACCAAGGTTCAATTCTAACCCAGAATCCCAATGGTGGGGGATTTGTGGATAGGTTGAAGAACACTGTAAAGCATGACAAAAAAAACTCACTCAGGAAGTGGTATCAAATACAACTTACAAGATAACACTCGTGGCAAAAGTACACAATATGAGATCACTAGGTGGGGTTTGTGGAGAGGTTGAAGACTGCTGTGAAGCATGAACTGAGGAAACATATGCCTCGACATGAAATACAGCTTAAACGTTGTAATGTCCTGATCAATTCATCTAAGCAAACAAATAACTATGCCACAATATCTCTATCCACTTTTTGTCCAATAAATCTATCAAACATGGTTCCTGATTAAATGAAGACAGCTTACGATAAAATCTAATGAAAATGATCCCATTAAAAAACTTCAACCATCAAGAAGGGGCTTGAACAGTTGGTGAGGCCATTAGTTGCCATTCCCCTGAGCCCCCACTTCTTGGCAGCTTCAACATAGACACATGGCCCCAAGCAAAACATGCTCTGAATGCAATCATCTTGATTACAAGTTATGGAGACCTACGGCTTATGCAAGTCTTACGCAAATGTGTGAAAAACGTGAACATGTTCCATAATTTGTTCTTGGGAAGGGATAATCTTGAGAAGAAGCATATCATTTTCTCATGTCATAAAGTTCTTGCTTGTGATATGTATTTTTTATGACGTAGCAGTGGATGCATGAGTGAGCTAAAGAGCGGTAATGTCTGATACACGCTTAAAGTGAGTGAGTTGGGTTTAACGCCGCTTTAAACAGTATTTCAGTTTTATCACGGCGTGTCAGCTTAATGTGGAAGGAAAGCCCGAAGTGATGCAGGTCTTAGACGTTTACCACTTCGGTGAAACCTACGAGCACGGGTATGGTGCTGACAAACCTAGAAAAATAACTGGGGCGAACCGGGATTCGAACCCACAATCTTAGGTTTCTGGCGTGTCCAAGGGACACAACTACACACTTTTAGAGCATAGGATGATCACTAAAAAGGGAAGACATATAAACTGCAGTGCTTAGTACACCATTAGATATTCAACTCTTTCACAATTTATTCTAAATATCTCATTAAATTTCTGTTTTCTTTATACAAATGGTATTTGGACATTATATACATTTTATTGCCCAAAATTATATCCAGCTAGTCAAATAAATCCCTTATGGTTTATTAACAATTCTGCAGCCAAAAGTGGCTGTGAATATTGTACTGATGAAACAGTCATCCCTTGACTGTGCCTGCAGCTAGTGGATGACCAGGAGTTGTCTCCCTTCCATGCCTCGTCTACAGTAATGACTTTTGTAACGTATCAGCTCCATAACACCTGTCAGTGATCGCACAGAGAGCCACACGGGCACAGATTGTTACCTACACTATCTGCTGCTTATACAGGCTTTAATTAACAAACACTGATTCCGGAAAAAGTAACATCTTTCAGTGTGATGATTAAACCATCGGCCATGTCTTCAATGTGTTGAGTGACATGTGACTTTATCACACAACCCATCAGTGGGGCTCTCTGGATCTGCCAATTACATGTTCCTGTCTCCAGTAATTACTACATTCTTTGGGAGAGGTGATTGGCTAACTTATGTGTGTGTTTGCAGGTATTTTGTAGTTTTTGTCATCTAACCACTTATTGGCATATCAACTAATCAGCACTGCAGGTGTTAAACTGTGAAAAGTAGCTAGACCACCTACTTCAGAATGTTGTAGAATCTGTGGATTTAGTCAAGAGTGAAATTAGCTGCTGGCTTAATGTATCAGCAGAAACAACACTTTTAGAATCTGAAGGGTCTAAGGGGTCTTTGAGGATCCTCTTTTCGTACTTTAAGCTAGCATGTAACCAAAATCATTAGGAGGTTCACTAAAATAGTGACAGCTAATTTGAATGCAAGATGTAAGCTATAGAACGTTGCAATACATGTTAATCTTCTACTTTGAAAAATAAAAATGTCCGATTTATGGAATAGGAGATGTTTTATGCCCTAGTTGGCAGTATTAAAGATATAAGGACACTACTTGGATGCAGACCAGGTTAAACTTTCTTAAAAGTCAGATGATTTACAAGAGCTAGAATGAGGAAATAGATATTCAGTTATGGCATCTTTTTTAATTTTGAGTATACGATTATTTCATATCAAAGCACTTTGTATGCACCTTTAACAGTTAAATGCCAACTAAGCACTTTTCCTGGCAGGCATAAATTCGAACACTGTGGTTACATGTGTGGACCACACAACATAATTTTCTTTACCTCTTTGTTTCCTGCTTTCCTCCGCTTGAGGGATGGTCTAAAATCGTCTCCATATCGGACAAAGTAGTAGTAGGACACCAGCCGGTCCAGGGGGTCCCGTACAATGTTAATGTATATGGGCTTCTTCAGCAAACCAAAGCTGTGGATGGAAAGGGTAAATGTGTAACTATCATCTTTAAAACAATATATCATGCTTTTATGTAACATGTGGCAAATTATAGTTGTTGTTTGTTGTTTGAGGCCACATTCAGCAATGTTCCAGCTATATGACGGCGGTCTGAAAATAATTGAGTCTGTGGACCAGACAATCCAGTGGTTGACATCATGAGCATCGATCCAAGCAATTGGGATCAATAACATGCATCAACCAAGTCAGTGAGCCTGACCACCCGATCCCGTTAGTCGCCTTTTATGACAAGCATAGTCGCCTTTTACAGCAAGGATGGGTTGCTGAAGACCTATTCTACCCCGGATCTTCACGTGTCGGCAAATTATAACAGTTGAAGTGTCATCAAGTCTATCTATTTGGAGCCTCATGGTTGAGATGTTTGCAGGGTTTTACTGTCATACAGAAGGCATGTGATCAGCACAGAACAAACTTGTTTTCAGTGGTCATCACCACTAGATGCGTTGATGTCCGATATATCAAACAAATGTTTATAACAAGCCATTTGATTCCTTAAACAGTTGTTCCGGTGAGAGTGTTCACCTAAAGAGTTAAATTTCACTAAGTTCTAATCTTCTAGCATAGACAAGACAACTTGAACCTGAATTCAAGAACCAGCATAATCTCTCAAAATATGAAAAATTGTCCTTGGAGAAATGTCATTTGAACAAATTGCAGATAATAATCATTTGCTTGAATTTGTAAAATCTTTTAAAATGTTTCAGATGTATGTAATAACACATCAAGTACCTAAATAACTCCATACAGCTTGAAGGCTGTGCATATGTTCAATCACATGGAAAATTTAAGACAAATGAAAGCTGTTATTGAAGAAAAAGATATTGGAATGAAGAAAACACAGACATAATATCATTTGCTTGAATCAGCATTATGTCTTATTTAAAACTGATCAACCTTTTTCAGTATCTGTGACTTACAGAGCATCTTTAAATCGATCCTAATAGCGAAGTTTCACAAGGCATCAATAAATGGTTCCAAATAGTGAAGTGACAATACAATGCGTCAGTAAAGGGTTCCAAATAGTGAAGTGACAATACAATGCGTCAGTAAAGGGTTCCAAATAGTGAAGTGACAATACAGTGTGTCAGTAAAGGGTTCCAATTAGTGAAGTGACAATACAAAGCGTCAGTAAAGGGTTCGAAATAGTGAAGTGACAATACAATGTTCCAGTAAAGGGTTCCAAATAGTGAAGTGACAATACAAAGCGTCAGTAAAGGGTTCCAACAGTGAAGTGACAATACAGTGTGTCAGTAAAGGGTTCCAAATAGTGAAGTGACAACACAAAGCATCAGCAAAAGGTTCCAAATAGTGAAGTGACAATACAAAGCGTCAGTAAAGGGTTCCAAATAGTGAAGTGACAATACAAAGCATCAATAAAGGGTTCCAAATAGTGAAGTGACAATACAAAGCGTCAGTAAAGGGTTCCAAATAGTGAAGTGACAATACAAAGCGTCAGTAAAGGGTTCCAAATAGTGAAGTGACAATACAAAGCGTCAGTAAAGGGTTCCAAATAGTGAAGTGACAATACAAAGCGTCAGTAAAGGGTTCCAAATAGTGAAGTGACAATACAAAGCGTCAGTAAAGGGTTCCAAATAGTGAAGTGACAATACAAAGCGTCAGTAAAGGGTTCCAAATACTGAAGTGACAATACAAAGCGTCAGTAAAGGGTTCCAAATAGTGAAGTGACAATACAAAGCGTCAGTAAAGGGTTCCAAATAGAGTGAATCCCTTACATGTACGGGGAGGTGGGGTAGCCTAGTGGTTAAATATGTGAAGCCCATTTCTGGTGTCCCTTGCCGTGATATTGCTGGAATATTGCTAAAAGCGGCATAAAACCATACTCACTCACTCACTCATTCACATGTACATGTATGCACTTCACCATCTCCTGTCAAATGTGGTTAACTATTGATTCCATGCAGTGGGTCGAGTACCTAGACTAATCTAGCTTGCAGGCACCAACAAAAAGCTGCCTGACAGTTGAGACCTTCACTAGACATTTTCATGAGCATTCAAGGGAATATAAAAATGCAACATGAAAATGTAATGGACATTTGAATATAAATGAATGATATCACCAAGTCATTAATGGTCGTATCACTTCTGCAGTAAGGTTGTTGGGGTACAATTACGTTTCATGTGACAACAGCTCTGATGAAGAAGCACAACTAACTGCACTAATAACGTGCACAGATGCAGCAAATTGACTTCTGTTTAAGTTGTTCTGCACTGCAGTCACAGGACAATGTTTCACAATAAAACTAATTTTTCTGCAGACTTTGAGTGCTGTTTGGCCTTGTGACATTTGTTGTGAAGGTTCTGGGGAGAGTTCTGTAATTACAATCGCGGCTTTTAGATGGATTCACAATGAACATGCCCTAGAAAAAAATAGATAAAAATGTTGATGCACCAAAGACAGATCAGTTTTACACACACTGAAATCTTTTCTCCACTATTGACAAATTATGCCAGGTCAGCAGCCCACCAATTCTTTGTAATTGCTGGTACCCAAATGTGTCACTTTCATGATAGCTGGGGCACGGGTGGCCCAGTCGTCTAAGGTGTCACGATTCGCTGTGCAGAGTTGCATCCCTTGGGCACGCCAGAAACCTATGATTGTGGGTTCGAATCCAGGTTCGCCCCGATTATGTTTCTAGGTTTGTCAGCACCATACCCGTGCTCGTGGGTTTCACTGAAGGGGTAAACATCTGAGACCTGCACCACTTCGGGCTTTCCTCCCACATTAAGCTGTCACGCCAGGATATAACAGAAATACTGTTATAAAAGGCGTTAAGCCCAATCTCACTCACTCACTCCATGATAGTTGGACTGGGTCTTTCTTTTACCCTGAGGTGCACATCAAAACAAAACAGAGACATAACCTGTGTATCATAATCACAAACAAACTGTTCATGCTTACATCAAAACATATCTTGATATTTCCCAAGGCAAATGTTTTGAAGCATTTAAACCATTATGGCCAATGTCTTTATTTTGTTAATAGTACACCTTAACCAGTATGTGGCACAAAATGACAGAAATACACAACCTACCCTGTGTGACGAATAAACAATGGAAAACTAACATTAGAAAATCAGAGTTAACAATTTTGTTGTATTCAAACAATCACAAACCATGTAATATTAACACTGGTTCCAGATTATTTCTATAAACATAGACAAAAAAAACATAAACACTTTAATTAGTTTTAACAAATATAATGTTATTTACTGCAGAGCTCAGAGTAATTGCACAAAATGCTTCTCCAAATACAACATCACATTTTCTGCACGCAAACTCAACGACAGTTCAATTGAAAGATGGCCATAATTCTGCCATGCAATCAGCCCAACAAAGTTGGCATGCATCAAAGCCTCCTAAACAGAAGCGTAATTACAAAGTTGTGTGTCAGTGGTTGAAACATTCACATTTCACTTCCCAAACACGATAATGTCAGTAGATGCAGCTTTATGCAGGTCATCACAAAAGAATTATGGGTAATAAGATGCGAACTTTACAGGATAATCACGATTGATACGACAAAGTATTGTCAACAGCAGTCTCCCCTGGGATTGGATGGGAATGAGTGGAGATGAGGTAGAATCGTGCACAGCGCAGTAGTCGGGACGAAAAGATGTAGATAGTCATTAGGACAACAGTTGCCATTCACCACATCAATTTACAACATTTTTTATTGAACATTGCTGGCATTTTTCTGATTAACGGATTCAAAAGGGAGATTTGCTTTTCATTTGGACTAATTTCAAGTATCTGTCACTGAGTATACAAGTAAAATATGGCCTCCAGCCATGGAATTGGAACAGGACAATGAAAGAAACAGTCAAGCTCAGAATAAATACAGGACCTGACAGAGCTACATTACAGTGTAATGTCATGGGTTAGTGAAGCCTCAGTACACACAAATATCCCATTCAAAATCAGACCTGGCTTCTAAAACTATTTATCATTGCTTATGCCAAGTATTGCAAAATTACATGTCTAAAATGATTTGTTTGTACATTGAAATTGGACAGACATAATCTCAAGATATTGAAGGGATTTCTCATATTGCAACTTTTCAGTTTCAGTGGTGTGCGTAAAACCATATGTTGCCTTCAGACACAAGTAAACAACGTAGGTTCTCCATAAGCAGATATACAACAAGATTTCTTAAACACAAATGCATTATTGACAAGTTGAGTGTCAGTGATTCAAACATACACAACCCACTTTGTAATGTTGGTAGATGTTGCTTATTGCAGTTGATCACAATGCCATAATGGGTAATACCCTATTCGACGTAATAAGCGCCCAGGGCGCACTCAAAATTAGAAATAGGGGGCTCTTATTAAAATATAAGTTTGGTGAGAAAGAAACAAATATTTTGAAAGATCGTAAATTTCGTGGTTTATGCTGACGGCATGAAATGATACAAAAGAAAAGTCTGTGCGTATCATACACGACAGATATATTTTCCAGAATTTAATTGCCCATAATTAAGGGTGTATATAACACACGAGTGCGTATTATAAGCAAAAAAATAAGTCTTGAGTACATTGATCAATCGAAAAGGGGTGCTAATTGGGATTGTTCACTAGCCAATATATTAGGAAATATCGCTGTGGGCGCTTATTAGTGCGGGGTGCTTATTATGTCGAATACGGTAAGTGCCAATCCTGTCTAAATATAAAATGTAAAAGCCATAGAATAACCAGTCTTGATCATCCACTGAAACAGATTGCATTGGCTGTAACAGACAAACCATAGGTCTAAACAATTATATGTATGGGTCATAGAAAAATCAGCGATGACACCAGGTGTTGCAGTTGCAGTTGGTAAGCCCAACATTTCATTTCAGCCATGAATGTATTCAGTATAAAACATATTTAATGTGATGTTCAGTTGGTGATCATCACAAAGGTGATAATTTATTTCACGATGTGTCCAGGTCC